TGGCTCTGCTTGAGCCCTTACCCTTCTCCCAGTACCTGGCACAGCATGCTGGGCAGCAAGCGTGGGTGGGATGAAGAGAACATGGGTCTCTCTGGCTGGCTCCTTGAGCACCACTCTGTCCATCGCTGACCCAGCTCTGAGGAAGAGAACTGGGCCTTGGTGGCCACTAGATGGCAGTGCTCAACTGCCTAGGTTCCGGCGCGGCCTCAGCGCCACAGTCCGCCCTTTAGAGGCAGGGAGAAAGCTGGACTCAGCTGTAGGCAGTCTTTCCAAAACCCAAATTTGTGTCACCCAGAGGCATCACCACTCTTTATTTTCTAGAGCTGCCTCTGATTGCTGCTGCAATGCCCTCTAGGAGAAAGAGCAAGGCTGTGGCTACTCAATAACTGTATGATCTTGGCCATACAGTATAATGGGGACTGGCCATGCTTATTTCCAAGATAGTTGTGAGGATAACATCAGTGAAAGCCTGAGGCAGCAGGCACTTGACAAATTATAGCTTCCAATTCGATAACACCTACCAGGTGCTTTACCTACCTACATGTTAGGACACTTGTGATGGGGTGGGCCCAGAGTGGAAACTGGGTCCATGGAATGGGGTGTGGGAGGGCTGCCATGTCCTGTTGACTTCATTGCGGGTGGGGCGGAGACAGTGTGTCCCCATCCCCAACAAAGGGCTGTTAGTTGGCAGTATGGACAGAACACAGGGGGCAGGAGCCAGTGAGGAGAGGGTGGGAGTGAGCACCATTTGCGCCTAGTCCACTAGTTGTTTGTGGTTTTGGGTTTGCCAGGGATACGTGTAAGTTATCTCCAACTACCCAGGAGGAACTCAGAGTAGAGGCTGTTTCCCAGCCTTTTTTGCCTCTCTGACTTCTCCATCTTTGCCCATCCCCAACCCTAGATTAGAGGCCCCAACTCCATCTGGTTTGAGAAGCTCCTAGTATGGTTCTCTTCTATACCTCGGCCTAAGGCTTCCTAAGGAGAAGGGCCACGTCATCACTCATGGGTGGGGACTTTCTAATGTTAGGACCTACATCTCATCAGACTGGGATCACCCTAAGGATAAGGCCTGCTTCCCCCCTCAGGCTAAGGCACCCACAGGGCAGGAGCCACCCTTTCCCCTTGGATGGGAGCTCCCTGATGTGAGAACCCATGGTTCACTGTCAGCTGGCTGTTCCTTGAGGGCAGAGGTTATTTCCTTCCAGTTGGAGGATGGCTGCCCCAGGCCAGGGTAGGTTCCTTCTGCCATCCACAGCCTGGGCCCAGCCAGCCTCTGCTGGTTAAAAGCGCCCAACTCCCATGGCTGCCAAGGGGTTCCTGGCTGCACCCCCCAGTCTCCTTCCTCTTCCTCCTGCCCTATGTCAGCACGTTGTCATCTGAGGCATCATCAGTTTACCTTCACAGACCCAGGCACCAGTCTATTTCATTGGGATTAATAATCTCGGGCTCTTTCTTTCCCCTTTTCTCCCTCCGAGCCAGGGCCCCATTCCAGCCCCTTCCACCTCTCAACCTCTAACCCTGAGACCCGCTTTTTAATTGCCCCCGCATCTGCTCTGCTCCTCGCTCCCCTCCGCCTGCCTGCCTGCCTGACTGCCTCCTTCTGGGAGGGTTAGGGGCGGGGACCAGATGTGCCCCTGGTGGGAGGAGAGGGCTGGCGGGCGGCCTGTTGTTTCCAATCCAGTGGTCTTCCAAATGGACAGGATGAACCAGGGATCGGTGGTGGGAGGGCTGTGGGTGAGCTGAGGGGAGCCCTTGTGGTGAGCTGGAAAACAGCTAGTTTCCAGGTCCTTCGGAGTGACTCTGGTCCCTTCTACCCGCAAAACCTCTATCCCAAACTCTCCTGGGTCCCTCTCCACTAAAGGACCATGGAGGAGGAGAAGACAGCCATGAACTGATTCTATCTGAGAACCAGGATCCCCCCAAACTTAACCAAGAACCAAAGGGACATTCTTGGGGGAACCTGGGGACACACATGCAGAATCTGGGAGGCAGAACTCCTGAGTTAGCAGCTGCTAAGGAGACTCTATGGGGGCCAAGCTGATGGCTGGGGGTGGGGAGGCCCAGAGAATAAAGCCCAGTCCCCTCCCTTTGACAGATCCCAACACTGATGGAGGGTTGGCTTACACTCAGGTGACAGGGATAGGTGCTATTCTGATATCCTGCATGAAGGGACCATGTCCTGTTCTGTCTGAAGCTCCTGACACTGAGCCTAGTTCTGTGAACTGAACAGGAGTTTGTGCTCTAGTGTAGGGTTCAGATCTCAGCTGCTGGGGCCGAGGTGGGTATAAGGGGCCTGGGAAAGAGTACTTTTAAATTCCCAGAAGTAGGGGCTCTGCACAGATCACCCAGGTGAAGCTGGGAGGGGGACCTTAGAGAAGGCTGGGTCCGCGGTGGATGGGGGAGCCATCGATTGCCGTGTCTCGTGGGTGACTGCTTATGTAAGAGCAATCCAATCTCCAACTCTAGTTCCTGCCCACGGAGGTGGACTGGGAGCTGGCTGTCAGCTCCCTGTGAACTGGGGCCAGCCAGGCTGCCTTCTGGCAAGTGGGCACTCTCAGCCCGACCTCCTGTGATTGAGGGCAGGAGCCACATGTGCTTAACTCCATCGGCAGAGTCTTTTTAATGGGTCACCTGAGAGCACATTTTGCACCATGGAGCCACAAATGTTTGCTGAGCGAATGGCCATCTGCAGAACATCCTTGTCAAGAGTGATCTCTTTTACTTGCGTGAGCTGCCCCCAGCCCAAGCTAATTCTGCCTGGTACAGGGGACTCTCGTGTGAAGCTTGCCCTCCTGGCCCTAGTTGCCAGCTGCCTTGCCCCATGCCTGCTGCCTCTGCACTTGCAGGGGTGATGGCGATGACCAAGTGAGATAATATATGTGAGGGCCCCAGGAAAGGGGGAAGTTATTCAATTTGAATCCAACCAGCACTCAGCAAGGCCTCCCGAGGTCGCAGCGCCATGCCAGGCTGCTGGGGGCTATAGATGTGAAGCTGACTGCTTCTGTGGGAATCATGGTGCACAAGGGAAAAAACTCATTAAGACTAATTGGAGAGGAGGAAACCCCAGGCATGCGGGGGGAAAAAAAATGATGTCTACTCACTTCTAAAGGGAAGCAGCTTGGTGCCATGCAAAGGAGCAGACCTCAGTTTGAATCCTGACGCTGTCACTTGCTAATTCTGGGCATGTTTTGTTAGACTTTTTGAGTTTGTTTCATTCGTTCTCATAGATTGCAAAGTTTTGTGAAGATGCCTGCAGTTGGTAGAAACTCAGGGCTCTGCTTTGTGTCCTCTCCAATTCTCCAAAACGGAGTCCAAAACTGGGCAGGGAGAGGCTCACCAGAAGTGGAGGCTGCTCCCTGAGAACAGCGAGGACTCATTTGAAATTAGCAGCATTATTTACACACCACTCACAATGTTGTTAAATGCCTTTAACTTGTTTGTTTTCAGAAGCAAGTTAAACACAGAATCCTGTAATTTTGTTTACACTATTAATTCATTCTTGTGTTGAACTGTCACAATCCAAACGAATAGAGGAAAGCCACCGAGGGTAAGGAGTGGGGCTTCTGGGGGCAAGTGGGAGGAAGGTTGCCCTGGGTTCAAGCCTGTTGGGGCTTAGCCTGGAGCCTCACCACTAAGATGCTCTCGGTGACTGACCACAGGACTCCTAGCAACCCACACCCACTCTGTAGGAGGATAGGTCAGGCCTCCAGGTGTAACTGTTACTTCAATAGCTCAGGAGCAGACCTGAGGCTGCAGGAAGAGGCAGAGGGAAATGTTTTCTATACTCAAAAGCTTCTTGAGGTCTTAAAGAGTGTGAAGGTGAGAAAGGGAAGGTGTATTGCCATCCTACCTGGGTATACAGAGAGAAACACACACCAAGGATAGAGATGGTTTATTAATATTGTAACAAAAATATATATTCTATATCTACATTATACATGTATTTATGCAGAAATAAAGAACCAGAGGATATTTACCCAAGTGTTCACAGCTTTTATAGGTGGTAGTATTAAGGCTGAATTTCCCTCTCTTCTTTTTTTTTATTTTTTAAAACAATGTTTTTGTTGTTTTTAATCTTCACCCAAGGATATGTTTGTTTGTTTTTAATTGATTTTTAGAGAGAGAGAAAGGGAGAGAGAGAACCATTGATGTGAGAAACATGATCCGTTGCCTCCCAACCGGGGATTGAGCCTGAAACCTAGGCATGTGCCCTGACTGGGTGTACAGGACAACGCTCCAACCAACTGAGCCACCCGGCCAGGGCTCCCTTTCTTCTTCACACTTCTTTTTACAATGAGTGTGTAGCCTGTTCACAATAGGGTAAACAATGAAGCTATCTTCATTTGGAAATCAAGGCACCACCATCTTCTGCATCGTCACCAGGACTGTAGCATCTGCCCCAGGGGGCTGAAGATGTCCCTCTCTCAAAAACCAGCAAGAGCCAAGCTGGGGCTCCCCACCAGGCCCCTCCTCGTCCTCATGCCTCCTCACTGCCATCATTAGGCAGAGCCCTATGTTAGACTGGGGCGGGGAACAAAGCCCCCAGCTGCCTGCCTGCAGGGAGGGTGTTATAAACTACGGGGGAACGATGGCAGCACCCTTTAAAATAGCAACACATTAACACTCACGAATGTATATATACATGCTGAAAAGCTGAGTATAAGAGATTAATAAAGAGGGCGAGTGGCAGAATGAATGTCTGGGAGAGGAGCGTTAATAAAGGAATAGGGTGTTGGCATTAATTGCTCCAAGCTGAGGAGGGCAGGTCAGGGCCCCTGGCGCAGGCTGATACGGGATTCGGGAGGGGACAGTGGCCAGGACACCTTGGCGAGGCAGCTCCCAGCTGACAGCACGCCCCTAACCCTCATCAGTTCCCTCTGGCCCCTCAGGTAGCCAGGGTGGTGGGGGCTGGGGGGGAGCTCCGCAGGCCAGCTGGAAGGAGGAGAGGCAGGGGGGAGGGAGTGAAGTGAGGCTCTGTCCCACTCTTCTCCTCCACCCCACCTCCCATCTCTCTCATCAGGGTTCCTGAGATGCTTGGAAGTAGTCCCAGGCCTTCGGGTCTCTGTCCACCTTGTCCTTTCCTCCTTCCTGTTTTCATCTGTCACGGTGGCGGAGATCATCCTGTTCCCAGTGCTAGTCACCTGGGGTTGCAAGGGACTCAGCTATCTTCTTCAAGGTGCTGCTGGGGAGGCGGGCGATACGGCTGCGGCGGGAGACTGAGGAACTGAGGGCAGGAAGGAAGGAGGGAAGGTAGGAAGGTCACAGCTGTGCCCCTGGAGTACAGGTGGGGGTGGGTGGGTGGACCTAGACACCAAGCCTTGAGCACCAACAAGTACTCCCAAGGCCAGATCTGAGGGTGGGAGAGGT